TTCACCACAGTGCTCGATATTGGAGTTCTTCACCCTAGTAGTGATATGAAAAATATATTTCACGACTACTGCATATTGAATACTTCACGTAAAACTCCAATAATATTAATTTTCTCAGGTACAAATGGTAGCAGAAGAGTTGTTGAAAAATCTCTCCGGAGATGTGTTGGCAACAAAAGTGGCCGTAGTTCTGCATGGTAAAAGAAAACCACACGGAGAAGTAGAAGATGATGATTGCCAGGTTGGAAAAAAATATATATGTATAACATATATATGATCCTCATTTTAGTGTGTTGGTGAAATTAAAGAAGTTCATCATCATCAGCATGGAGGTTCGAAACTGGCAGGAAAACGACAGAGCGCTACTACACAAACGTCGGAGTAATGCATTCTACGCACAAATGTGTTGAAGTGGTAGCTGAGCCTTGGTATATGTTGGGAAGAAAAATTACGTTTATATCGTCAAGTTGCATAATGGAGTTTCTTCATCCTAGTAGTGATATGAAAAATGTATTTTATGACTACTGCTGCATATCACCGCGTTGAATATCGCGTTTTCCACGGAGTTTTACGCCGCCACTTCACGTAAAACGGGTAGTTGTGAAAGTCCAATATTATTAATCATTAAACGGTTATCACAATTAATGGAGTTTCGTTACCCTAGTGATATGAAAAACAGATATTTCACTTGGTGAAAAACGCATGTTAGCAGTGAATAACGCGTAAAACACGTGGTATGTGTTTTACGTCAAATGGGGTGCTTTCTCCGGAGTAATTCGCCACTTCATATCAGCAAAATTTCGATAAATAATGATAAAAAATTGCGGGAAATTTTCTTGAAATTTTGGGAAAATCCGTAGAGGCGATTATTTAGGCTCAGGTAGCCGTCAGTGCTTTCCACGTGGTAAGAAAATTTCGGGAATGTTTTTCACATGGAGTATTACACCACTTCACGTAAAACGGCATGTGAAACTCCAATTTCCATTTGTTATTAAAATAGTTTTAAAATTGCATAAATTTTTGTTTTCAGATATGTGATGGTTAAAAGGGCCAAAACCGAGCAAACTCTATCGAAAGGGAAAACTCAGGGAGGAAATCGAACTAATGCAGGAACGATGGTTGTGTAATAAAAGGTGTATTTTTATAGTGTGTAGGAAAAAATAATTTCCGAATTTCGGCCATTGATAATTGCTGACCGCAAAATTTTATTTTTTTTTGCAAAAAAATTTTTTTGCCATGCAGGAACGATGGTTGTGTAATAAAAGGTATATTAGTGTTTGGGTAAATAAAAATTTTGAGGGGAAAAAATTTCCGAATTTATGAACGCAATATTTAAGATTTTTTTCTCAAAGAAAAAATTTTTCGGCATAATTTTTATTTCGGCAATGGTTGTGTGATAAAAGGTATATTTTCATAGTGTGTAGGTAAAAAAATTTTTTAAGGAAAAAATAATTTCCGAATTTTGGCTATTGATAATTGCTGAACGCAAAATTTTAATTTTTTTCGCCAAAAATTTTTGGCATAATTTTGGCTTTTAGGCGGCCTAAAACTACCGGGTGTTTTTGGAAATTTTTTTGAACGAAAAAAATTTTTTCCGAATTTTCTTTTCTCCATTTTGTGGTTTAATAATTGCCGGACGCGAAATTTGAGATTTTTTGGAGGAAAAAATTTTCAATTTTTTCAATTTTTTCATTTTTCCTTTTTTTTAACTTTTTTTTAATATTTT